CACATGCGGAAATGATAAATCAAACATAACACATCGATAGGACCTCTTACTTCCCTCTTTGTAACGTAAGATGTTGAAAAGCTAAATCAAACACAATACATCAAGAGGACCCCTTACTGTCCTTCCTCTTTGTAACATAACATGTTAGATGTTAGATGTTTGATATTCGATGGCGAAACCCTATACAGCAAATTGAAAACTTCCTTCCATTGTCCCTTTTACCCCACTCGGTCCTAACCACAAAGGATAAAAGATCAGTGATCCGACTGTAATCCACGGTCTAAGGCTGCAATCCCGTCTCTCCATGAATTACTCGGCAAAGTCACGGCCAAAGGCTACAATCCCGTCCCTCCGTGACTCCCGATAGGAAGTGTCAACCGCCCTCTACTATTAGGAAGTTAGAATGTTAGCACGTTAGGATATTACATGATCCTCTTGATCACTTGTAATAACCTAACTCCCCACATAAAAATTTACCTTAGACCCGCATGTATCTAATTAGATCACATGCGAATCAACTTCCTCTTGAAATCCTACATCCACAAAGGTTAGCGGCAAATACAAACATAGCCATCTCATGACTCATGCAGCATGCAATCACACAATCAAACATCATGCACAAACAATCAAAGAAAANANTTAANCAAATTNNTAAAATTCTAGCANGAACCTCNANGNCNATAAANCNTAANAATAAACAAGCAACGTGTGCTCTACTCATCTAGCACACGACAANCATCACCAAAACTCACCTTATTCAAACGGTTAGGACTTAGACTCGGACTTAGGCTTAGAATGGATCTAGGTTCCTCGACTACTCCACGATCTAACAAATCTTTCCTTTCCTTAAAACGGACTCAATTTTGGCTTGAATCTCGATCATTCCAACCATCAAAACCACAAAGGGTTGGATTCAAGATCACAAGACAAAACTAAGTCAGATAGAAAAGTTAGGATCGGAACGCCTTATCCTAAAAACTTCACGGCACTATTGGATGGTTCCCGACAACAGACCGCGGATTGGATCACGATCATGAACTATTTTGGTCAGAGATTTGGAACGTTTTCTATGTAAGAAATGAGAGCTACTTGGTCCTATTTGTAGGGTTAAGCAAGCAGGTATGCATAGTAGGACGGTCAAAAGTGTGTATCGTGTTTTCCGATGAGTCGCTGCACACGGTCGCGATACCTCGTGCTTGCAGATTAGTCGTGCTTGTGGATTTTCGTGCTTCCGATGACTCATCGCACAAGATCATGACACCCGTGCTTACGGGATTTGTCGTGCTTGCGGATTTGTCGTGCTTATGGATTCCAAGCATGTTAATCCCGAGCAGCTGTGTTGTGCTTCCGCAAACTTTTCTATTTTTGTAAAATTATCAAGTTTGAAAGCACCTTGCCACCTTGTGCTTAAAATCCCATCATGCTTGACAATTTTTTTTTTTTACAACTATGTCTTGGCTCGATCATCTCCCGTAATTGTTTTGATATCTTGACAGGGTCATTACAATCAGCAAACTTCATACGCTTCATCAATAAATTCAAAACCGGTTTAGTTTCATACCATTTATAGGAGATGCAATCACACAAGGTATTAGCAGGGGTTACAAAAATGGTCTGCATTAAGACCCCTACACCCTTAGAGCATTCCCTATGATGTCTTGGGTTTC